GTTCTGGCTGGAGTCATTTCCGACGCAGTTGCCAAGAGTGGCGATGCGAAGGCTGCTGTTGATAAGTTCCTGAGCCAGGTGGTGATCCTGCTCAAGTCTGCCTATTAAACCGCAGCGCAACCCAAGGCTCTGCACCTCCTTCCAACGACCTCCGCTTTCCTCCTCAACGAAGCTGATAAAGATGCAAACTGATTAGCTTCTGCTATCGCTGTACGCAATGTTTTCCCGATACGTGATAAAGAAACCGCGTTGTGCATAAAACATGGAATAAAAACACTTTCCCTGCAATTCACATTGTTTGTTTGTTAATTTGTTCCTTACGGTCTACGTTAACAGTCTCGGTTATTGATAGGGCTGGTGTCCGACACGAAGCAATGAGACAAAGATCCACTGTGTAGCCTGTAACAGACTTTTGGAGTGCTGCTAGCGAACGCCTATGAAGGCCGGCACGGCACACGAGGGGGTGGGTGGCCAGCACCACGCCCGGCCGCCTTCGTCTCCCAAGTGGCGATGTTTACACACCGCACCAGATACTCATTTGAGGCTGAGTCGACATAGGGGAGGACCAGGACCGGTTCAGATAATTGTCACCGGTGTTGGCCGTGGGCGGGAATAGAACTCCGGTCGCGCGCTAACTGCTACACTACCGCTCCCACTCTACACTTAGTGCTAAGCACAGCCACCGGCGAATGAGGACCTCGCCACACAAAGCTTCTCACGGGGGTTGAGGATGCTTCACCACGCTTGTCAGCATAAGTTGGTCAACGTGGGGATCATAGAAGTGCAATTGTGTTTGCTGCACTCTGACCTCCAGCACGTAGTCCATTACAGCCTATAACTCATTTTATGCACGGTCACCCATTAGGGCACTATCCAGGCTCAATTATGTTAAGCTCCTGAGATCTGATGAGATCGGGCACATTTCACGTGATTTGATCGTAGGCTAGCAATACGGTAAGTTACAACCACTTATAAATCATTGTGTGAAAGTTGGATTTGAAGAAACAAAGGCAACTCATACAAATGGAGAACACATTAATCGTGTCAGATTGTGCCGATGACATTGTAACAAGCAATGAAAATTAGCTCGTGCATGAAAGAACAAATAATCAAGGTATTTGTGCCAGGTAGAAGTCTCCACTTATTGCGCCATACCACGCGGTCCCTCCGTCGCTCAACCCCCCGGGGCGAAATCCAGAGACGAAGCTCAGACGCAATAAGACCACTTTATTAACACAACATCCTTGAATGGTAAGGTGGATAAATGTCACGTATGACAAGAAAAACCAACGGAACAATTTCCCACAACCACATCCGCACAAAGTTGCATTCAACCCGCCACGTTAGTCCACGGAGTTCGAGTCCCCCAGGTGCGGACATGTCAACCCCTTATCAGTGCCTGCCTTAGAAAGCAATTCACACCATAGTTGGTCACCCCTTGTCCTTAAACATTTCAACGTTCATCCTACAAAGTCCCATCACTGGCAAGAAACACGAACAAATAGTTTAAATATACGTTGTTTCCCGTATTGAAACGGATGTACGCCGTATGGACCTGTAAACTCAAATTTCCCTGTACAAGAATACGGGGTAAACCGTGTGGGTTGACACGGTATAAATTTCTCTTAACAACACCGGCAAAGTTGCATGGAATCCGTGGCCCACGCGAGTCCACAGAGTTCCGAGTCCCCCAGGTGCGTATGGATCCTCGCTCTTGTTGCATTTTGTTTAAACCGAGTTACACAACCCCCTTCCTTGCCTAACCCAACGTGGGTTCTGGGAAATAAATGTACGAATAATGAACGACAATATTTCAACCAATTTTCAATTCTGTGAGGTATCATTAACCGGCGAGTAACTGCAAGCGAATAACACAAATTCAACAGATCTCCGAGCGCAGGTGATTTAATGTGTTCGCTGGTTACTCTAGTAAGCCACATTGTTCACGATCAATGAGTTTACAAAGGTCTTTTACATCGTTATTCTTGGTTCTTTCGGTAAAGTCACGTAGAAGGGAAACAATAAAATAATACAAATATAAAACAATAAAATTCTCACGAAGTTTCGACTGCTGTGGTTTTCACACCTGATGATGATTGCAAGAAAATTGTCTTGCTGTGGTTTTCGTACCTGATGATGATTGCTTGTGTTGCAGTCGAAGCGTCGTGAGAATTTTATTGTTTTATATTTTTATTATTTTATTGTTTCCCTTCTACGTGACTTTACCGAAAGAACCAAGAATATGAATCCATGCAGTCACGAAAGCTTTAAATCAAAAGTCTTTTACATCGTTATAGGTTACCATATGGATTTTTATAAATTTGTAAATACATTTTATTGATCCAACCACGGTGGGGGGGGAGGGGGCGGGTGTCTACAGCTTCCGCTCCAGGTGAGTGATGCATAGCGGGATAGGCGGCTCTCGAACAGACAGCCAACGCGGACGTGTAGGAGCGTAGCGTTACGTGGTACGTGAGTCAGATCCCTTTTCTTTGGGGAAGGAAGGGGCAAAGCGGTGCTTGGAGAAGGGTGTACTGGTGTCTGGTGATTTCTTGGGGTTTAAGGCCCAGGAGGGAGGATTTAATGCTAGGTAGTATCTCGGTGCCAGACACCACGTTGTACAGATCGGTTTTTTTTACCATAGATGATGGTGGGACAGTCCCAGAAGGTGTGAATGTACGACTGGATGGTGCCCGGGAAGTCACCTAGGGCAGTATGGGATATGGTCTTGGAGAATTTAGCCCTCCGTCGGTTACTGAGATATGTGACACGAAGGAACTTAACTTGAATCGTTCTGAGAGGAAGGGATGTTAGACCTTGCCAGGGTTTGTGCTAAATTAGTTTCCAAGACTCTAATGGAATCGGGCGGCCCAGCGCTCCTTTTAATAGTCATTTTATATTTGCACATTTATCCGTGATTATTTACAAGTGACTCTCATGCGTGACATAATTTTTACCTATTTATAAATCACCTCGCGTTACCCACAGAACCACCGCTGTGGGGAACACGAGTCGCCTGGCCAAAAACGCGATGCAGAAACACGCCCAGGGTGCAAGGGCACGGCTTGGGTAGAAAAGGCCTCGAGCTCATCACGACCATGACCTCGTCATGTTCCTCCACGTAAAGATTCTGATTCTCAGGCCCACGGGATGCGTTTCGGAAGCAAGGGCTGGTGGATGGGATCCGCCGAAGGGGAGTTTGCGTTGTCTCCAGCGCATACGACCTAGAGCCGCCAGGAGATTATGCATTAGTACTCTTTGATTATTTCGGTAAAGTCACGTTGGTATAAAATAAATTAAATCACGACGTTTCTGGCGCAACACAAGCGTCCGTCATCAGGTGGGACAACCACAGCAAGAAACAATTGCTGAAGTGGGCGACTTCAAAAACTCAAAACTTCAAATCGAGGTTATGTGCAGTGGCCGAGAGCGCCTGACAACCTGATTTGATATTCTCTGCCTAGGGCCGTCCGTTACGCAGAAAATGCAACCAAGCGACAGGCCGCTTTGTATTCATATTATTGTTTTGGGATTCCCTGCTGCAGATGATCCCTGCGCTGATGCAAATAGTCACGCGTTTCGGTTCGCAAGTGCGAGTTTGTGTTCGAACGTCAGATGATCAAAAAATAAAATATCTTATGGATGCTCGTTCGAAAATGCGGAGAATGCCTTCCAGTACCTGTGTAATGACAGTGCGGAGGGATAGCAGGACAGTGTGGCTCCCTGGGACCATGGTTACTAATGGACGAGCTGATGAGGATTAATGAGACGGGATCCAATGTCGGGGGGAGTGTGAGAAGGGCGGTGAGTGGCAGGGCCAGGTACGGCGAGGAGGATTGAGGAATATAGCGTGGCCGGACCGGGCGAGGATAAATATCAGCGTGAGCGGAGGCTTGGGGCTGCTTGATGTGGCTGGAACTGCCGTCGCCTGGGATTGAGTCGTCTCTCCACCGTCTGCAAGTTGTCTTGAGACTGTATGCTGTGCTGTCTCAGAATAGAGTGGCGTCAATGACCAAGTGTACGGAGTCACTCGCGGCTACGTGTTGAGTTGTCATTGAACTGTATTCTCAATAAATATACAGAAGAGAAGGCGTAGTCTCTGAGAGCTACATTACACCTGTAAACTGGAATTCCACTGTGACCAATTCAGATATCATTCAATCCTGATATGAGCCATGGCTGGCAAATGAATTGAGCTCACAGGATTTACAATGATTCAATGAACCAGAGCAGAATTCGGTACCAGGTGGTGGAAAATATTACGTAGTTTATTTGTTGGTTTGACTCAAGTTCTGCTATCTCAATGGTACTAACACGTGAATTTTTTGGGCTGGGCCCATGGACTATGTGAAATGCGCTAACCACCATGCCATGACTCCACCCCAGTTGGCTCTTGTCTAGTTATAAACCTTGTTATAAATAAAGGCTTTGATTTAAAAATGTGGTACGGACATATGTGGTCCAAGATAATTAAAACAAATTATTTGTTGGCAGCATTGAAAACTTTTCTTATTTCAAAAGATTAAAATATATATTAGTTCCCGAGACTAAGAAATACTGCTGAGACAAGTATTCACTGCAATGGTGACCTTAGAATCATAGCATTTCACAATTGCGTGTGCATGCAAGAGAAATACTTTCAACATGACAGAACTTTTTTTTTTATCTTGCTATTTCATCACCACTGATATTTGATTGTATCTTAGCTTTATCTTATGTTTGACCAATTTGAACGTCGTGGATAAGATATTTTAAAAAAGTATTATCAATAACTGATCGTGGCATTTTTCAATAACATAATTGCCACTGATAAGTCATCTCGATGCTCCTGCACTTTAGAAATCCACGTGCATAGTTTGTTAATTGTATTTGCATGAGCCACATTAGATGCTTGACTAAGCATTTTCACAACAGGGTACATCACCAGCGTCGTAAAAAAAAGTCGAAAGTAAGTTGAGCAATCAACTCGCGCACATCGATAGCATTCTGTATATAAGGAAACTCAAAGCAAGTGTCTGGCACAAGCGATTTTCAGACCTTGCAGGACTGCCTTGATCTGCCCATCAACTACCATGCCTATCGTCGACTCTGGAAGCGTTGGGGCGATCTCCGCCGCGGAGAAGTCCCTCATCGTCAGCGCCTGGGCCCCCGTGTACGCCAAGTACGAGGAAGCCGGCGTGGACATCCTGGTGAAGTAAGTGTGTGGAGCGGCGCTGAGCAAAAGTACCCTTTTCATGAACCGCGCTTTTACTTCAAGGGTTTACAAGAGAATTACGGTATTAGCGATTCTCACAAATGTCCTGAACTCGTCACGTCAGGATCAGATGCATAGTGCAGAAACTACTTGTAAATTTGTAAAACATTGGTCCCATCGTTTATGAAGGGGCCACGCAAGAATAACTTTCAGCCGAAGCAAACGACGGCTCTTTTTATGTTTTTATTTTTTTCGTGCAACAGGTTTTTCGCCGCCAATCCCGAGGCCCAGGCCTTCTTCCCCAAGTTCAAGGGGCTCGACTCGGCCGACAAGCTCAAGAAGTCTCCTGCCGTGCGCTGGCACGCCGAGAGGATCATCAACGCCGTCAACGACGCCGTGGTGGCCCTGGACGACCCCGCGAAGCAGAGCCTGCAGCTCAAGGCCCTGAGCCAGAAGCACGCCCACGAGTTAAACGTGGACCCCAATTACTTCAAGGTAACACTATTGCCCTCCTCACGTCCTGTGCAAAAACACATTAATTCTGTGGCTGAATTTTCTGTTACGTATTTCAAAACCAGTTTGGGCATCTTTGCTTAAATTAATTTTTCATATTTTTCAGCTGAAACAATACACAGGCCTCTTATTTCACCCCCCACCTGTCTGCCCACTAATCTAAAGGGAACCACCAACTGTTTTCATATTTACTGTGGTTGCGTCGATGTCTTCTCATGCATATTCATTTCTTGAAGGTCTAAGGCCAGAAAAGCAAACTTATTGTCCTGTAACCTTCCAAAAGTCGCTTCCAATGGGATCACATTTGCACATTCGTGTTCCAGTAGATTGCAGATCGACATGCAAATTTTGCCATCGTTGGATTGTAATTCTCTGCCAAAACGCGCTCTGTTCCGCAGGTTCTGGCTGGAGTCATTTCCGACGCAGTTGCCAAGAGTGGCGATGCGAAGGCTGCTGTTGATAAGTTCCTGAGCCAGGTGGTGATCCTGCTCAAGTCTGCCTATTAAACCGCAGCGCAACCCAAGGCTCTGCACCTCCTTCCAACGACCTCCGCTTTCCTCCTCAACGAAGCTGATAAAGATGCAAACTGATTAGCTTCTGCTATCGCTGTACGCAATGTTTTCCCGATATGTGATAAAGAAACCGTGTTGTGCATAAAACATGGAATAAAAACACTTTCCCTGCAATTCACATTGTTTGTTTGTTCGTTTGTTCCTTACGTTCTACATTAACAGGCTATGTGATAGTCCTACACATACATAGCAACACAGTACGGTATTCTGCACATGCACAGCCACTGCTGAACCTGTCGTGGGGGTTATTTGACGACGTTGTGGTGGTGTTGAGAGAAATGTCTTCCGCGTATTTTATTACGCCTAGTTCTAGGACCTTTTTTTGCGTCCTGATGCGTTGGGATTTGTTGTTATTTGAGTATTTTTCAGCCAATTAATGTTCATTATACTGGACACCTGTGAGAAATTCGGAGCATCCGAAAAAAACCCCACGCCTTTTGCGCGAGGGGGCCAACACACTATCCCCGCGTGCAACAGAGAAACAGACGGCGATTTGTCCACTTGCTGTACGTGTACCACCACCTTATCCGAACTTCCACGACGCCTGCAGGAAGGGAGCCTCACAGTGCTAGATTACAGACCACGTGTGTTGCATTTTAAGGTTACAAACACTTCATATACGACATAGCGAATCGAAAAGAGAAATGTTATCGTTTTTAATCTTTTCCTTGACATGGTGGCAGACCCGCGCGAGCTTGGATACCAAAAATGCAACAATCCAATGAAGAATATGGTACATTGAGAGCATTATTTGTACTTCACGCTCTCAAGATCAGGATCCAAAATAATCCCTATTGGGTCAGGATATTTTTTTAATATTTAAAATAAGGACTTGTGTAGTTTTTCTACACAGGATGAATTGTTACTAAAATAAGAAGAGGCCCAATTCTTTACGTGCCCAAGCATTCCGTTATTTTCGCCATTATTCAGTCGAAGCTTTACTCACTACCGCTGTCGCTAGCCCAAGTAATGTCCAGGCAAACCTCGCCGAACGCGGGGGTTACGTTCCTGGAAAATCCTCTGGGTCCCAAATCATCACTCCCCACCCCATCCCCTCGTCCCTCTTTGTTTAACTAATTCTACATGATATCCACACCCTTGTTATTCTACTAAAGGATGCTGAGTCACTCTCCGTGTGGTGTGTGTGTGTGTGGGGAGCGGTAGTGTAGCGTTGAGCAGCGCTATGAACCCGGCGACCCGGGTTTGATTCCCGCTCAAGGCCAACACCAGTGACGATTATCTGAACCAGTCCTGGGCCTCCCCTAGGTCGACTCAGCCTCAAATGAGTACCCGGTGCGGTGTGTGAACAACGCCACTGGCGAGACAAAGGCGGTCGGGCGTGGTGCTGGCTACCCACCCCCTCGTGTGCCGTGTCGGCCTTCATAGGTGCTCGCTAACAGCACTTGGTCCTCCAGTCTGTCAAGGCTGTAAGGGAGATCTTTGTCTTTGTGTGTACAGTATGTTGAACTTCTTTCGCACCGTCCGTAGCCAACCGTGCTGATAGGAGGTGCGGGGGAAGGACAACAAACTAAAGACAAAAAGCAGTTGTAAAGAAATTAGTTTTCGTTGTGCGTGAGCATGTTGAGTGTGTTACATTTGCAAAGGAAAAAATATACACACACATAAAAACATACTGGACTATACGTGTAGCGTATGCACGTGGTGCTGAGTGAAACTAGTAAAAATCCTACACAAAATAGGTTTGCAGCGTATTACCGTCGACAGTAGTAGTGATAATCTGGTACCTGTAAATTAGCATCTGGAGTGACCAGTTCAGATATCACTCACCACGTCTTCTTTCGTATGGCTGATGTTAGCCATGGCTGGCAATTGAACCTAGGCAGCACGGGTTGACTGGATCCATGAGCCAGAGGGCAATGCAGCATCACGGGTGGTGAAACATGCATTCGGGATTTTAAAGTGTCGTACGTAAATGACTACTACCGAAAGCGTGCTATACAACGACACGCCTGTTTAATCACGTTTGTTGCACACAATTAGTTTTAATTCCCATTTGAAGACGTAGCTTTTTTCACTCGAGTTTTTGCCATCGCAACGACGCCAGCAAAAATGTGTTTGTCTGTGTCCCATCGACGAAGAGCAATGCGCTCACCACGGACCACGACTCCACTCCGTGTGGCTCTTACTGGAATTATTCGTATAAATGGATCTCATGCATAAAGGTTATTCTATTTAATGATGGGGACTAACACGTGATGCGACATACTGCAGTTAAAACAAGTTCAACGGTATTTTGTTTTACACGTTGAAAGCATTTAAAATGGTATGGTTCATTAACATTAGTTCCTTTATATGTCCTCTACATTAAAATACAATCACCCCAATGCAATTGCTGCTTAGGAACGCCTAAGACCGCCAAACGATGACCTTAAAATCATAGCATGTCACAATGGCGCGTGTACGTGCCACAGAGCTATAATTTCAACACGATAGAACATTGATTTTATCTTCGTTATTTCCTCATCCACTAAAGCTAAGACGTTATCTGACGTTTGACGAACTTTTGACATCGTGGATAACATTTGACGCGATCAGTAGTGTATCATTGTAATTTTTCAATATCTAAAACTTTTTTCACTGACAAGTCACCTGCAATAATATTACCGCAGCTCAGGAGGAGTCCACGTGCATACTCTGCTAATTGTATTTGCATTAGATATATGAAAGCCTTGACTTTAAGCATTGTCGCGATTGGGTACATCATCATCATGATCAGCAGCGTAAATTAAGAAAGAGTGTAAATCCAGTTGAGCAACCCACTCACAAACACACCGATAAAATTCGGTATATAAGGAACTTCAAAGCAAGCGTTTTGGGACAAACGATTGTCAGACCTTTGCAGGGGAATTGCCATTGATCTGCCCATCAACTACCATGCCTATCGTCGACTCTGGAAGCGTTGGGGAGTTCTCCGCTGCGGAGAAGTCCCTCATCGTCAGCGCCTGGGCCCCCGTGTACGCCAAGTACGAGGAGGCCGGCGTGGACATCCTGGTGAAGTAAGTGTGTGCAGCGGCCGTGCTTTTACTTCAAGGGTTCACAAGGGAAATCTTGACTTAAAGATTTCGTGACTGCAGGAATTCATATTGTTGGGTCTTTCGGTAAATTTCACGTAGATAGGTTCAAAGAAAATAACCAAAAATCTTTAAAAAAACTACGTTTCAATCGCAACACAAGCAATCGTCATCATCTCGAACCTATCTATGCGACTTTACCGAAAGGCCCAAGAATATGGTTTACAAGATAATTACGGTATTAGCGATTCTCACAAATGTCCTGACTCATCTCGTCAGGATCAGATGCATAGTGCAGCAACTACTTGTTCATTTGTATGACAGATATTGATTGGCCCCATCGTTAGCAATGGGCCGAGCAAGAAGTGCGCTGAGGGGAAGCAAGCCACAGCATTTGTTACAGTCAGACCTGCAGGTTACGTGTATTATTATTATTATCATCTTCATGTGTACCCAGTGGCAGCCCAGATAAAACAAGGGGACATTACAAAAATGAACATCTGAAAGATGCCACCATTGAAGTCAGGATTGGACCAAGGTTTTAATGTTGTTGTTGTTGTTGCTTTATTGACACACTACACTCTTGCTTCTTTTTACATGACAGGTTCTTCAGTGACAACCCCGGCGTGCAGGACTTCTTCCCCAAGTTCAAGGGGCTCGACTCGGCCGACCAGCTCAAGAAGTCTCCCGCCGTGCGCTGGCACGCCGAGAGGATCATCAACGCCGTCAACGACGCCGTCGTGGCCTTAGACGACCCCGCGAAGCTGAGCTTGAAGCTCAAGGCCCTGAGCAAGAAGCACGCCCAGGAGTTAAACGTGGACCCCCAGTACTTCAAGGTAACAACGAACGGCCTCCTCGCGGCCAATGCGAGACACGCGGTTTTTATTTTTTTTGTTGCACGGCTCAATATTCCGCGACGTTGTCAAACCCCAGGCAGCAGGCACTCCCTCGGTGGAATTTTAAAACCGGTGTTTGTCATCTTTGCGAAGATACAGTTGAAATAATTAACAGTTGAAACAATGGGGATGTATCTTAAATTCCCCCATAGCCCGCCTCCAACCACTCAGCGGAATAAAATGGATAAATGTTTAGTCGATCGGCAGGTCGCATGCAGTGAGGTAGAGAGTGTGGGTATCGTCTACATATTCCAAGATGTCAAGAGTAGTCCAAATAGCCCAAACAAATGGGCGTTAATCTGCTAAACCACTTAAAATTGCAGAACCAAAACTTTGTGTTTTTTTAACATCCGTTAATTTTATGAACTACCATACATTTTAATTTCTTAAAAGGTCTAAGGCCAAGCAAACTAATTATCCTGTAACCTTCAAACTTCCAATGGGACCACATTTGTCAACATTTGCACATTTGTGTGTCCGAGTAGAACGTTGCATCATGGGTGCGTTTGGTTAAGATCGCGTCAATAGAAATGTGTCGTGAAACCCGCCACCACCTGGCACAGCCAATTAGCAAGGGTTCGGCACGTAAACTAAAACGTGCCAATTCGTTGCTAGTTCAGCACACCGGCGCGTGTTAAGAGAGTAAACCCACAACATGCAGATCGCAGTGCAAGGTTTTTATTCTCTCCAACTGTCATAATATGCCAATGTTGGATTGTAATTCTCTGCCAAAAACGCGCTCTGCTCCGCAGGTTCTGGCTGGAGTCATTTCCGACGCAGTTGCCAAGAGTGGCGATGAGAAGGCTGCTGTTGATAAGTTCCTGAGCCAGGTGGTGATCCTGCTCAAGTTTGCCTATTAAACGGCAGCGGAACCCAAATAGTTTTCAACCTCCCTTCCTATACGACCTTGGCTTTTTTTTCCCCCCTCCGAAAAGTTGCTAAAGATAAGCTTCTGCAATTGCCGTTCAGAGCGTTTCCACGATGTGTTGTAACTAAAGCGCGTTGTGCGTGAAACATGAAATAAAAACATTTCCCTCCGATCAGTAGCACCTGGCATCCCGTGTTTGAGAACTTCACGGCACGTGGATGATTGCATTCGCAAAACACTGCGGTGCTGTTACAGGCAGACCTCGCCGAGCGTGGGGGGTTACGTTCCTGGAAAATGCCGTGTTTGGAAAAACCGCGTTCGACAAATAATTGCAGGAAAAATAGGGTTTGTGTTCAAATGATCACACCCCACTCCCTCTTTGTTGAGCTAATTCTACCACAGTTTCGTCCTTGTTTTTTGTACGAAATTATGCCGAGTCACTCTCCATACCTTGTGTGTGCAATCTTTATTTTTCAATTTCAACTCAACACAAGCACCCCTCGTCTCAATTCCTCTTTCCGCACCGCGACAGTCGCCAGCCCGACGCTGGCCCCTAACACTGAATCGCCAACCCAAAAGCTGGCCCCTAACACTGAATCCCAAGCCCAGACGCTGGCCCCTAACACTGAATCGCCAACCCAGACGCTGGCCCCTAACACTGAATCGCCAGCTCAGACACTGGCCCCTAGCACTGAATCGCCAACCCAGACGCTGACCCCTAACACTGAATCTCAAGCCCAGACGCTGGCACCTAACACTGAATCGCCAGCTCAGACACTGGCCCCTAACACTGAATCGCCAACCCGGACGCTGGCCCCTAACACTGAATCCCCAGCTCAGACGCTGGCCCCTAACACTGAATCGCCAACCCAGACGCTGGCCCCTAACACTGAATCGCTAGCCCCGACGCTCGTCCCTAACACTGAATCCCCAGATCAGACACTGGCCCCTAACACTGAATCTCCAGCCCCGACGCTGGCCCCTAACACTGAATCGCCAACCCATACGCTGACCCCTAACACTGAATCGCCAACCCAGACGCTGGCCCCTAACACTGAATCGGCCGCCTAGACATTGGCCCTTAACACTGAATCGCCAGCTCAGACACTGGCCCCTAACACTGAATCGCCAACCCGGACGCTGGCCCCTAACACTGAATCCCCAGCTCAGACGCTGGCCCCTAACACTGAATCGCCAACCCAGACGCTGGCCCCTAACACTGAATCGCTAGCCCCGACGCTCGTCCCTAACACTGAATCCCCAGATCAGACACTTGCCCCTAACACTGAATCTCCAGCCCCGACGCTGGCCCCTAACACTGAATCGCCAACCCATACGCTGACCCCTAACACTGAATCGCCAACCCAGACGCTGGCCCCTAACACTGAATCGGCCGCCTAGACATTGGCCCTTAACACTGAATTGCCAGCTCAGACACATGCCCCTAAAACTGAAACGCCAGCCCCGACGCTGGCCCCTAACACTGAATCCCCAGCTCAGACACTGGCCCCTAATACTGAATCGCCAGCCCCGACGCTGGCCCCTAACACTGAATCGCTAGCCCCGACGCTCGCCCCTAACACTGAATCCCCAGATCAGACACTGGCCCCTGACACTGAACCTCCAGCCCCGACGCTGGCCCCTAACACTGAATCCCCAGCTCAGACACTGGCCCCTAATACTGAATCGCCAGCCCCGACGCTGGCCCCTAACACTGAATCCCCAGTTCAGACGCTCGCCCCTAACACTGAATCGCCAGCTCGATGCTGGCCCCTAACACTGAATCGGCCGCCTAGACATTGCCCCTAACACTGAATCGCCAGCCTAGACGCTGGCCCCTAACACTGCCACGTGAACGTTCACGATTCTCCATCTCGGCGTCCCTTTAGTGTAAATGTGAGGAAAGAAATATATTACAAAAGTTATGTTAATTCCACAAACTCTTGTACCAACACTTTTTGGTTGTTTCATTCGATCTTAAGAATTGAGCCAGGTTGGCTGGGCTCCTCCTCTTGAATACCCTGGCTCGATTCACAAAATCGAATAAAAGGTCTTGGTACAAGAGTTAGTATTCTAATGAAATTAAAAAGAAGTTGGTCCAAAAGTTATTTGATTGCCCGTTCAAATGTTTTCGAAAGTCATATTTGACATGTGTTGAACTTCTTTCGCACCGCACGTAGCCAACCGTGCTAAGTACGTAATAAAAGGTTACTCACCTATGGAGTGATGTTGGCTACGTACGGTGCGAAAGAAGTTCAACACACATACTATACGCTATTGTAATACAATGCAAGAGAGTTGGTTGTGTGGCACAATATTTATTTAGTGAATGCCATTTCACGCGAATTCCCACAGTCAAAACACCAGATACATTTACAAAATATACACAGATAAATAAATACATGTTCATAACAAAGGTTTTTGGGTTAGATCGCGTAATAACCCTCCACCACCCGACACGGCCAGGAAGGTTTGTCACGTTAACAAAACGCGCCGTTCAGTTGCTAGCTCAGCCCACCGGTGTGTTGAAGAGCAAATTCACAACATCTACAATTTGAGTGGACGTGAGCCAACACATCCACAGAGCCACAGGGCAGTCTCCTCCTCCTCCTCCAGCACGCGCAGGGCAACCAGTCCGCCCAGCGCGCTCCCACGGGTCTCCTGCTCCCCGCATTCATAGAGTGGTACCAGGAAAGGTCAGCAGAGGGCACTTACTCTGCGCTTCATCGCGACCATCACCGTCTCCATTCGTGACGAATGTAGCGTCCTCTCGTGGACTCGCAAGGAGATAGCGTGAACGCATGACAAAATGAGAATGCGTTTAACACGTAGTCTTTGGCGACCAATATTATTCATAACAAAGGTTTTTGGATTAGGTCGCGTAAGTAAAAATGTGTCGTAACCCTCCACCACCCGACACAGCCAGTAAGGTTTGTTACGTAAACAACGCGCCAGTTGGTTACTACTTCAGCACCCCGACGTGTTGGAGAGTAAATCCACAACATTCACAATTTGAATACGACGTTTCGCTGGGATGTAATTCGTTGGGATGTAATTACCAACGAGTATAAACAATTTTTATATATGATACACAACTAGTAATCATACTTGTAGTATAATGACAATATAGCAATAATATACACTTTTTCACACCGATGGTTTTATAAAATAGATGGGTAACTGAGCATCCTCTGAATAGGTAGTGCACCACGTTACGATCCACCATTTCACACCTCTTTGCTTCGATTTAAGTAGTTTTGATTGACGTTTTGGTTTTCAGGAACGCATCCTGGGCGTATACCGGGGTATGGCTGTATCACCGTACACAAAACTATCGGATGACGACAAATGTATTAAAATTTTCAACAATTGACAGCCAACATTAAACCCCCATTCATGTTATAACCAATAACAGACTTTGGTGTTTTCTAGCAGATAAAACAAACTGGGGTGGGATTTTTTCATCGTCACGGACAAACTGAAATGTTGATATAGACAGTGAAAATATATTACAGTACGTATCATAGAACATATGAAGAGTTGAAATTGTGTTATATGCACTCGTGCACATTTGAATATAGTGTATTTACGACATACGCTTTGGCATGAGCTACAATTCTTTAAAAGTATTGGCGACTGTCCAGTTCTTGAGCCCGCCAAAAAAAATGTCACCACACTTTCAATAGAACACTCTGTCCAGTTACAAATGTGCAATAATTTCACATTATCAACACCATGACATTGTGCAAATGCTGAAAAAAAATGATATATAAGGAGGTTCTCAAACGAGTAGCTCCATCACTACAACCTTTCTGCACAGGATCATCATCGCTGATAACCTCCAAAAGTAATCACCAACCATGCCGATTGTCGACTCTGGAAGTGTCCCAGCCCTGACGGCCGCTGAGAAGGCCACTATCCGCACCGCCTGGGCCCCGGTGTATGCCAAGTATCAGTCCACCGGCGTGGACATCCTGATCAAGTAAGGATCTCTTTCCACTCTGAGCAGTCAACAGCGCAACACAGGCAGACACACACTTTGAATGTCATAAATGGTCTTAACTCTTGTCATCAATGTTGATTCATTCTTACCATCCACAATTTGTTTTCGTTATTTAGTGGACGATTTAACTTTTAATATGGGACCTTTTTTTGCCAGTATCAAACTATAAGGACAGGCTTTATACCCTTTCTGGCAATGAAACAGTTCGTGTTAAGATGTTCAAACACCAAACAGAAACCTCTTGCCAGGAATCGCGTCTGCATTAACCACACACGGTACTTGTGGTGAACATGCGAACAAAAAAAGGTTTCTGTTAGGTCTTTTAACACCTTAACACCTGTTTTATTGCCAGAAAGGGTAAAACCTATTCTTATATTACGACTTAACTTTTATTCGTTTAAAGTTAAAGGTTGTAGTTGCGGGGGAATGAAAACAACTGATGCCATTCTGATTTGTGGCTTCTTTACGGAGGGCACTTGTATTATAATTTTTTTTAACATTTCGAACTTTTTTGCAAGTTATCAATATCTATCTTTAAACATTATTTGGCGATGCTGCTTTGGCAGTGATGCACAACCACATTTAACAAACAAAAAAACTCACATTTATCAATAACATGTATAACAGGTGACGTTTCGGGCAATGGCCCTTCTGCATTGGACATCAGTATTTATGTTTGTTTGCATCATCACCACTACCCTGATATATATTTTTAGCTGCATAGCCAACATGTGGACATTGCTGTATTTTGTCCGTATATATTTACTTTATTTCTCTCTTTTGTTGACAAAGACTCACGCCAACGTAGCCATATCCGTGTTTGTTTTTAACTCGGGCGCCACGGTGGCAAGATGTTAACTACCTCTTCAGGTATACAGGACGTCGTGGGCTCGATTCCGATCTCGACCCTGACGCATGCTGTATATTTGGAGTTTGCATGTTCTTCCTGTGGTCGCGTAGATTTATCTTCGGGTCCTCCGGGTTCCCCCCCCCACCCCCCACATTTAGAATCAACACGCGTTTAGGAGCTGCTATAAATTCCCACGTGACAAGCCACTTCGTTGGTGCGATGCATTTGTGATAGCCAGGTCGCTTATGAAAACGAGCTGTGTAACTCAGTGGGCCCTTACCTGGTAAAATAACAAATTTCGTTATTAGCTGAGGAACTCCCCCTACGGGTCCGAGACGGCGGCTGAATTCAAATTCACAGGATCGTCTCTCGATCGTTCGCGACAGGTTCTTCACCAGCAACCCCGCCGCCCAGGCCTTCTTCCCCAAGTTCCAGGGGCTGACCTCGGCCGACCAGCTCAAGAAGTCCATGGACGTGCGCTGGCACGCCGAGAGGATCATCAACGCCGTCAACGACGCCGTGGTGGCCATGGACGACACCGAGAAGATGAGCCTGAAGCTCAGGGAGCTGAGCGGCAAGCACGCCAAGAGCTTCCAGGTCGACCCCCAGTACTTCAAGGTAACGGACGCAGCCACCACAACGGGGCAATTGCTGGGTGTGTGTGCGTGTGTGTGGGGAGCGGTGGTGTAGCGGTTAGCGCTACGCTGCTCTACGAACCAGGCCACCCGGGTTCGATTCCCGCTCACGGCCAACACCACGGTGACGATTATTTGAACCGGTCCTGGGCCTCACATGAGTACCTGGTGCGGTGTGTAAACATAGCCACTGGGGAGGCAAAGGCGGCCGGGCGTGATGCTGGCCACCCACCCCATCGTGTGCCGTTCAGGCCTTTATAGGTGCTCGCTAGCAGCACTTGCCCCAACAGTCTGTTCAGCCTATACGAAGGATCTTCGTCTCTTTTCTAATACATTGAACTTCTTTCGCACCGTACGTAGCCAACCGTGCTAATCGGAGGTGCGGTATCTGCTGGCTATGGAGCTGTTGTTAGCCGATTGGTGCGGGGGGGGGGGACAGGGCCACTCATGAATATTTATCCCAATCCCTCTTACTGTAGCAGTTGTCCTTGGATCCACCTACAACGCGCTGGCGTTCTAATTCGAGTCGAGACGTTGCCCGTGAGGCCCGAAAATGATTTCACCGCCCCTTTGATATTCGATACATTCTGTACGATCATCTGCGTTCGAGAATTGTAATGTTGGTTCTCTCGCGGTGAATGTAAGTGGCCTCTCGTGCCAGCAGGTGTCAGGCCAAGCACGTTCGTACAGAGTGTACGAATTTGAAAGAATTTCAATATTTTGAGCCCTACCGGTCCCGCAATGTCATGTTAAAGTATTGTACAATGTATGCATGTTGAACTTCTTTCGCACCGTACGTAGCCAACCGTGATAATCGGAGGTGCGCGTGCACAGGTATACTTTCCTGTGACAAGCAGACACTTTGTGTACATAACATTGAAGCAGCTAAACAATGACGGTGTTCATTGTGGTAATTTTAGCCTTCGTCAATGCATTCCTGGATGAGCACCTCCCCATGCCGTGTCGGGTCTGGGGACCGACCACCACAGAGGCTATTGGATGGCCCAAATGACCTCGATACACGCAGACAACGTCGCAAATGTCACCACGGCACACGACAGCAGGAAGAACGCCGAGACCACTGCAATGAGAAACGCACGCAGTGCCGCACTCGTTGACTGTTGACACGGCGAGTGGTCAAGCAGCTCCAACCGAGCCCCAATGAACTGTTGCGTGCGGTCTCGTCCCAGGTGCTGGCCGCGGTCATTGTCGACACCGTCCTGCCGGGCGATGCCGGCCTTGAGAAGCTCATGAGCATGATTTGCATCCTGCTCAGGTCCAGCTACTGAGCCCCAGCCCTGCGCCGACACTACCGCAAGAACGCTCGCCGCTTACGCCTGCCGCGTGTGATTTTGCACAAAAAAGCCCGTTTGCCATCAGGAATGAAGCGTCGTTCCAATGTCACGCGATGGCAATTCGGGCGTAATTACAACCAACGTAACTTCCCGACCAAAATGCAATAAAGCTTCCCTTGATGCAAGCCTTTTGAATGTTGTTTGCAATTTCTTTGAAAGGGTTTTGTGACAATAAACGCAAATTGGTGTCCCCCGCCGCGTGCGTGCTGCCACGGTGGTGTAACGATTGGCGCGCTGGACCTGCCATCCAGACGTCGCCGGTTCAGTGTCGCGGCACGGCAGCAGAACCACTGCGTTTGCAAAATGTCACATTTTGGCGGAGAAAAAAACACATCCAGTTCCTACTTTGGCTCTGAATGGGAAGCGTTTTGAGCGCGACGTTTGCCAACGTGGGGATTTTGAAAGAGATGCCATCTATCTGGCAGGGCCCATTAGAAAGCTGAAACGGCAAGGGCTGGTGTTGGTCAATTTATCTCCAGTGACCTCGACTGTTGTGACATTCCAAGAAACTGACAATAAAATAAGAGCAAGGGCCAGCAATGATGCCGAGTTGTGCAACCCGCTCGCTCCAGTTTTTTGCGAAAGGGAAGCGAGCTACATCTGGAATTTGGGGTGGGGGGGGGGGTGGGGGTCTTGGGCGATGCGTGCCCGTGGCTGAATCGAATGATTGAGACACGGAGGGGGGGGGGTGGGATAGGGACTGGTGGGTTTCGCTGGCGCTCAATTCGACTGCCAGACAGGAGCGTGGAATCCCTGGGGCTGGAGACGGCGCGACCACCGCACGCATGTCACCTGGCTGCAACCGTGACCCAACACAAACACGTGACATGACCTCCGGAATAAAACCTTTAACTGTTCTTCCCCACTCCTCCTACAATGCGCGGTAAAATGACTCAATATCTGTGGAGTGGACGCAGCCTTGATGTTTAGTGCCGCGGTATATTCCCTAACCCGATATCGGTTCGTCAGAACTTTGTCGGACGCATACTAATTGTACAAACGGGACAGACGATACTAATTAAACGGTGACCCCCCGAATTGTGTAAAAATCGTGGCGTCCAGTCGCGTAGCGTGGTTGGCGTGGGTCCTTATCCAAACCCCGGCATCTGGGCCCCTATGGGCCACAGTTGCGCCACCGGTACACGAGGTAGCTATGCCGGATTCGTGGTGTCCCCAACTCCACCTAACGCCGGTGTGAATTGCCTCACCCCACGTGGCGACGCTGCACGGAAGCCCTCGGTCCAATAGAGTTTCAGTTTATTTCAGTTTATTTATTTTGGTATAGCCCTGTGAGCCATTCGGCTCTTGAATCGGGTGCAACCACAACAAACAAAAAAAAACACGAACAAGAAAACATCTTAAAGTGACTATGTGACTGTGCAAACAGAAAATCCATGAAAAAAACAGCAAAATATTCCTGAAAAAAGCACCGTACACCAACGCTGTGTGCAAAAAATCTCAGTGGGATGCAAGTCAAACAACAACAACAACAACCACAAGAAAACTTAGATTAAGGCCGTCAGTCTAACTCCGTACTACAACAAAACAAACATGTCCAAACCAAAAAACTTTTCGAAATCACCAAAAATTAAAGCCATAATTGCAACGTAACAGTGATCATAGGGACTGTGACCGAATTTTTACAACAAACTACATAAATAACATGTAACACCAAATCCTAGAGCCATAACTGGCTGCATGAGTTACTTCACAGCAACAGAAGCATCAGTCGGAGTATCAAATGTTTCAATGCACCTTTAAGATCAGCACGCTAAATCAAAATACAGATAGTACTTTTCAGCGTCAACCAGAGATAAACATTTTATTTTATGAATAGCAGTGGCAGCTAGGGGTGTACAACTCCTCTAGAGCAGTTTTGAGAGAAGATCTCATTGGTAGCGATTCAAGTTGCAGTTTATTGGCAATAGCATTCCAGACCCTGGGGGCATCAATAGCAAAGGCCCTTCCTCCAGTTTTTGTACGGCAATAGGGAATGTGAAGCTCAAAAATGAGCAAAGACCTGAGGTCAAATTTGTTCTTTGAAACAGTGAGGAGATCCAGCAGGTAGTCGGCGGATTTTTTTGTAAGTACATCGTGAATAAATAAGATCTGGTGCACAAGCCGTCGAATATTAAGAGATGTTAAGTTTGACCCAATGTAGAGATCAGTGGTGAATCCTATATGGGCAGTTCAATGTAAATCTTAAGGCCGAGTGATAGATGGAATCAAGCGTCTTCAGTACAGTACTTAGGGCTGATTTATACACAATGTCACAGTAGTCAAGTAGAGGCAGTATGGTAGCTTTTATCAATTCCAAACGGAACATTGGGGGGAAGCAGTGCTTGTGTCAATACAGAAAACAAATTTTTATTTTTGTTTTTTTACCAATATAATCAATGTAATCTTTTGAAATTCAGTTGTGAATCCAGGATGACCCCAAGATACTTATAGATCTTGACTTGCTCTATTTGATAATTATTTAAGGAATTTAATAGGAAAAAATAACTTCCTGCTTTAGTCCTGGTGAGAAGCATAGCACCTTGGTTTTGGAGGTATTCAGGACTAGTTTAAGAGCAACTAGCTGATGTTGTAGTTTGTTGAAATCACCCTGTAGCTTAGCAATCACGTCATCCGGAGAGCGGCCAGCAGTAATCAGTATCGTGTCATCTACAAAAAGATTAACCCTGGAATGATCCAGGTCAGTGCCCAAGTCATTGACTGTTTGACCTCCAACCATCTGTGAATACAGTTTGGGTGCGAGAAAAGAGGTAATTTTGTAACCATTTTACTGCGTTTTCGGAAAACCGAGGCAACTTAGTTTACTAAGCAGGGTGTTGTGGTCTAGTGTATCAGAAGCTTTGGACATGTCTAGAAAAAGAGAGGCACAGTACTGCTTATTATCAAGGCTACTGTAAATGTGATTCAGAGAGTCTAATGCAGCTGATGTGGTGCTGTATTTTTTTCGGAACCCAGATTGTTTTAGATGTAGTAGATTGTTGGTGGACAGGAAACTGCAAATTTGGTAGGTCAATATTTTTTTAAAAAATTTCATCAACGTGGACAAAATTGAGATAGGTTGGTAGTTATTTGGATCATCTTTAGGGCCCTCTTTGTGAAGTGGACGGACATAGAAATGTTTCCATTCTAGAGGAACTGATGCTTCTTTGATGGACAGGTTGAAAATATGGGCTCTAGGTTTGTATATTAGGTGACCAACAGTTTGTAGAGCAAAGACGGGAATACTATCTGCTCCGGTAGAGGAGGACCCTTTGAGGTAGGACAGTTGTTTCAGAACATTACTTTCGTGGATTGGCTGGAAACTAAATTCGTTTAATGTTTGGACAGGGGTGTAGGAATTTGCATGAGCAGGGGTGACTCCCAATACATTATCAAAAAGATTACCAGCTTCAGAAAAATGAAGGTTAAAATTGTCAACTATATTTTTGGGATCTGAAAAATATTCCCCATTTCGGTTAAGCTCAATGGGCAGTTTGTCTGTTTTGGATGCTTTTTCGATACATTTGATTGTTTTCCAGAAAATCCTGGCATTTCCATGTGATTCCAGGAGAGTGGAGGAAAAGTAGGCATTTTTTCATGCCGTATTTTTTTTCTATTCCTTAAAACCCTGTATTCTAGCCAGTCATTGACCAAATTACTTTTCTGAGCACATGCCCAAGCCTTGTCCCTAGTTTTCATGAGCTTTGTAATCAAAGGATCAACCATGGTGGGCGGTTGCCTTTAGTTGTAAATCTAACCAACGGAGCATGTTTGTTAAACATTTGGAGAAACGTGTACCTGAAGGTCTCCCAAGCCGTAGTCAGGTTGGGGATATCACAGACCTTCTCAATATGCGAGTGAAGCACATCATTAGTAAATGCCTCAGTGCTGAAGTATCTCATAGAGTGCTTCTCAACCAATTTAGGGGGGGCTTTGGGTCTGGCTGATGATCTCACCCCAAAAATGACGGAGTGATCACTAAGGTTATTACCCAGAACACCAGTCAGTGTAAAATTGTGAGGGGCATTTGTCAATAGGACGTCAAGCAGAGATGACTGTTCCGGATTTTTTAGGTTGGGTCTTGTGGGGACATTTATTAATTGAAACAGATTAAATTCATCTGCAAAATTTGTGGCCACGGCCGGCGGGTTTATCCAATTCCAATTTAGATCACCCACTAAAACTATTTTACCTTAAGGGAGGCCTCCAAAAAGCTCTCTCAGTGCAGATGCAGCTTCAACATCCTTCCCACTAGGCGGTCGATAGCAGCACACTACCAATATCTGTTGATTATTCGGGAGAATTATTCTGAGAGCCAGACCTTCAAAGCAACATTTTTTTAAACAAGGAGTGAGCTAGTGAACATGCAGTAGTATTATATTAAGGCCGTCAGTCTAACTCCGTACCACAACAAAACAAACCTCCTGGATCAGACCACGTGAATACAAGTTTCCCTCGCTCTCCGCGGGTTCGGTCTGTGCGACTTCGCGCTGTACACGCGGCTAATCGATTTATACCCACACTTCGCTCTATTATGCGGTTTGAATTCACTCATATGCGGCTATGCGGTCGGACGTGGGACAACATTGTGTGTGTCCTGTGTGTGTACTTTGTGTATACTGTTTGTAGTGTGTGCGCTCCTCGGGAGGAGTTGCTCTGTGCGCCCTCTTTTTTTATAACGCATCTACTACTACTACTGCGCAGACCGAGGGGAAGCTGTACTGTAGACGAATAGGGAAATTCATGAGCAGCAGCGATGTACAAGTAAAAAAAAAACACTCACCACGTCCCGAATTGTTAGTGCACACACATCACAAGCATTGTTGGCAAAAAACTATAACTAAACTATACATTTTTAATTTTACCAGGCAAGGTCCACTGAGCTTTCTAGATCTTTGTCAAAAGCGACGTGGCCACACATGATAGCTCAACGAAGTGGCTTATCGTGTGAGATGTTATCTACCTCGCCTGGTATGCAGGAGGTCGTGGGTTCGGTCCCAATCCCGACCCTGAAGCCTGTAAATTTGGAGTTTGCGCATTCTCCCCAGTGGTCGCGTGAATTTTTCTCCTGGTCCTCCGGGTTTTCCCTCCACATTTAGAAACAACATGCATTTAGAGTATTTGACTG